GTTTGTCCGTGATTTGGAGAGCCCAGCTCTGCTTCCCGACGTAGGGAAAACCAATTCTGCAGGGAGACCTACCTCGGCACTTGTGCAGGTGAAACCAAAGGGAATATGCTTCACCATATTTTCTAGTCTTCGGCTTAGAAGGAAGTTGGCTTGAAAACATATTTGGCGATGCTTCATCTCCTGCTTGCTTGGTTTGTGTGGGAGCCCGTCAAAAACCTGTCCATTATGCTAGCAGTGTGCAAGCGTTTTCTTTTCATACCGCGGTTCCCCTGCAATGGCTCTGCGCCCCCCTAGGGGGCAAACCTCAAACTTTGGGAACCTCTGCCTTAGAAGATGCTGTTTTTACCGTTTCTTCCTGCAGTAAACATAACGATGCATTCAGTAAAAAACATCGTGTATGTCGTGTTTTCAATAAAACATCAGTAGTAGTGAGCAAGCTTCTTTATTTTAACGTGGCTCACATCCATGCACGTAAACATAACCTGCCGCTGCTTCTACGACACAGTATATATCACAATTTGGTTAGACAGCCCCCTAGTGGTGAAGCTGAACTACCCACATAACTCCTATCAACACATCCCCTTTTCTTTAGATGTTACCTGCTGAACAACACTGTGGAAACATACCTAACATTGCATAGCTTGAATAACATCACAAACACTTGTGACAGTGTAAACTACGGAACACACAATAATGCAGAAAGTCAGGAGCAGTTTCTTCTACTGTGTGTACTCTTTCTTTTTGTTTATTCTTTGAAAAACATTGCTTGGCAAAATGGTTTTGTCCATTGCATTTTTTGCATATTTTACCATAAGCTGGGCATTGTTTCCTTCCATGTTTTGTGCCACATCTTTTGCACAAGAAAGTGTCTTTTGATTCTTTCTGTTCTTTCTTGTACGTGCGCCCTGCCTGCCGTGTATTAACTGCAGCTACAGCTGTGCTTTCCGTGTCTGTTTCCCTCGGCGACCCGCTGAAGGTTTTTGCATGTTGTATGGCGAGCTCGCTGGCATGACATACTTTCACAGCACTTGCTAAAGTCAGATCCGCCTCTCTCAGAAGCCTCTCTCTTATCTTTATATCTTTTATTCCAAATACGATCTGATCTCTTATCATAGATTCTTGCAGCTGTCCAAAATTGCATGTTCTTGCCTTTAACTTGAGGTCAGTCAGAAACGTATCAAAACTCTCTGAAGGTTGTTGTATACGTGACCGAAAGACGTACCTCTCAAATGTTTCATTCTTTTTGGGCGAACAGTGTTCATCAAACTTTCTCACTACTTCGTCAAACTTTTCTTTGTCTTCTGCAGTTGCGAACACAAACGTGTTATATACTTCCACCGCTTGTGGACCTGCTACGGTAAGAAGCAGTGCAATCTTCCGTGTATCAGGCTTACTATCTAGGCCGACAGCTTAACACTCTCCATGATGACCTACTTTACTTGTTCACTCCTGGTACCATGTCGTGTTTTCAATAAAACATCAGTAGTAGTGAGCAAGCTTCTTTATTTTAACGTGGCTCACATCCATGCACGTAAACATAACCTGCCGCTGCTTCTACGACACAGTATATATCACAATTTGGTTAGACAGCCCCCTAGTGGTGAAGCTGAACTACCCACATAACTCCTATCAACACAGTGTATAGTTTTTATCTTAACTCTGGTTTGACGTGGGCTCTCACTACAATTTAAAAAGTAGTATATAGTTTAAGTCCACACTTTAAACACAAAGTTTGAGAATCAGGTTTGTCTTACGATGACATAGCATCTTTTTGCTATGTCATCTTAAAATGGTCATGTGATTGGTTTACCACAAGTACTTTATTCTTCCTCAGCCAATCAGCAGCACTTGTGTAACTGTTTCTCTGTTGTGCGGTAAGCTGAAGAAGCTTCAACCGTTGTTGTGTTGAAAAATAGTAACCGACCTGCACCGCATTTTCTTGTTAGTAACGGTAACAGCGTTGTAACAATAGAAATAGTAATTAGTTAGTTACTCGTTACTGAAAAAATTAACTAACCGATTATTCCCATCACTGGCTAAACACACAAGCAGCACCATCAATTGACTGAGACAGGACTCTTCCAGACACTCTAAACCAAGGCACAATGTACATTTCAATTCCTTTAATTTTAAATATGTTTATATTGTCTATCCTGTAAAATAGTCAGATGTCTATTCATATTAATGTACAGAATTCACCTGCTTGCTGCTACTACTGCACATTCACCCAGTGTATATACTATATATATATATATATATATATATATATATATATATATATATATATATATATATATATATATATATATATATATATATATATATATAATGTTCTTCCCTCCCCCCCATTTTTGCACATGTCGAGGAGCGTGTCAGGCTACATTTCACTGTGTGTTATACTTGTATAACTATGCATGTGACAAATAAAGA